GCAGGTTTGCAAAGCTTCCCCAGCTCTAAATAAAAATAGGAATAGGAGGTGAACCCCCCCCACCCTCACCCCCTTTCTGCCCTGGTGCATCAGGCATGGGGCAAGGGTCCCTCCGTGCATCCCGGCTCCCATCCCAAGAACCGAGCCGGCAATCGAGCGGAGCCCAGGCTGCTCAAAAACCCTCTGGGTACAAAACAAAACTCCAACAAGCTTGAAGCAGCTGAAGAAAACGGGGGGGAAGGATGAGATCCGGGGGTGCAGGGGGGGTAGAACATGGTTTGGGGGCCAGATGAACCCCCCCAAAGCCCAGGGCCAGCACAGCGGTGATTTATGGAGGGCGGCGGGAGGAAACACGGCACAGGCAGCGTGCCGGCTGCGAGGGGAGCAGCCGTGCTCGGGCTTCCCAGCGGCGCGGAGCAGAGCTGCCGGGGACGTACGTCCCTGCAAACAGTCCCGAAAAACCCCAAAACATTTGTAAAAAAACCAAAACAAACCAACAAAAAACCAACCCCCAAGCTTTCCCTTAGGGAAGGTACGTGGTTGGTTTGGGTATTCCCCCCTCCCCACCTTCTTTAATTAAAAACTCAAAAGGGAGAAGCCAAAAGGGGGAAGAAAAATCATTTATTACCATTTAAAAATCAAGGCAGCGGCTCATCGGGGCGGTGTCGGGCAAGCTGGGACCAAACGGGATCCGGGTTGGGGTGAAGGTGACTTTTTGGCGGCCACGGGGACGCAGGTCTCTGAGGCGCCTTGAGGGGGGCGGGGGGGGAGAGGGGAAGAAAACAAACCGAAAACCACAGTACCCCACTAGACAAAAAAATAATTAAAAAAAAAAAGGCAGAAAAAGTGAAAAGCCAGAGTTGAGCGGGACAGAGGCGATGGTGGCGCCCGGCTCGCAAGCGATGGTCAACGCTGGCTTTATCCCGGCGGGAGCTCGGGGAAGGGTTTGCATCAGGACCAGGAGCCAAAGGGAAGAAGAAGCAACCCCCAAACGAAAAGGCGATGCTGCGGGACCCCCCCATGCTTGAGAGAAAACCCGACCCAGGCTCTAGTTGAATATAAGTTTTTTTTATCTTGATGCAACATCGTTAAAACCGTCACAAATCGAAACAACAGGTCGTTAAAAACGCTTCGCACGATCAGTACCTAAAATGCACCAGGCTCCCAAGCTCGCTTCGTCCGCAAGACCCTTGAGTTTTCCCCCAAAAATTCTTTTTTTAATATTTTTAAAATGATTTCTTTTTTAAATAAGCAACTTGTTAAAAAAAAAACAACCCCGCTCCTCCGCGCAGGATCGGCCCCGCTTTCGCTCCAAGCGCAATTACACAAATTATTATTATTTCCTTTCTTTTTGGTGAGGGTTTGTTTTTTTTTTTTTTCCTTTTGCGCAAGAAATAATGTGCATTTTTCTGTCCTTCTTTCAACATCGAGGTTAAAATAATATTCCATTTCCCGAGGGTTAATAAATAAATCTGGTGCATAGTGAGATAGCAGCCAACCCTTTGCAGTCCATATATTACTATATTGCCTTTCAGGTCACCCTAGAATTGGTACCTCTCCCCCCCTTTTCCCCCCCCCACC